CTCAGCAGATTTGTCCGGGAAAAGCCAAGTCCATTCATTGCTTGACCTGCAGTCGAAAAGAAAGTGATGTTCTCCATATTTGAAGGATACTGACAAGTACACAGATGACAGGAACTCAGTTACATGCGATGAGGCCTCAGTGAGAATTGAACTCACAACCCCTGGTTTACTAAACCAGCTCTCTAACCACTGAGCTATGAGGCCTTGCACGCTAGCTGTCCGTAAGCATTTTTTTAACGTGCTGCGAAAATCAGAGCCTCAAAAATAGTCGGGTCCTCAGCAGATTTGTCCAGGAAAAGCCAAGTCCATTGCTTGACTTGCAGTTGAAAAATGAAGAGAAGTGATGTTCCCCACATTTGAAGGATACTGACAAGTACAGAGATGACAGGAACTCAGTTACATGCGATGAGGCCTCAGTGAGAATTGAACTCACGACCCCTGGTTTACTAAACCAGTGCTCTAACCACTGAGCTATGAGGCCTTGCATGCTAGCTGTCCGTTAGCATTTGGATAACGTGCAGCCAAAATCAAAGCCTCAGAAATTGTCGGGTACTCAGCAGATTTGTCCGGGAAAAGCCAAGTCCATTCATTGCTTGACCTGCAGTCGAAAAGAAAGTGATGTTCTCCATATTTGAAGGATACTGACAAGTACACAGATGACAGGAACTCAGTTACATGCGATGAGGCCTCAGTGAGAATTGAACTCACAACCCCTGGTTTACTAAACCAGCTCTCTAACCACTGAGCTATGAGGCCTTGCACGCTAGCTGTCCGTAAGCATTTTTTTAACGTGCTGCGAAAATCAGAGCCTCAAAAATAGTCGGGTCCTCAGCAGATTTGTCCAGGAAAAGCCAAGTCCGTTGCTTGACTTGCAGTAGAAAGCGATGTACACATTTGATAAATACTGAGAAGTACACAGATTTGCTTGACACAGACGACAGGAACTCAGTTACATGTGATCAGGCCTCAGTGACAATTGAAATCACGACCCCTGGTTTACTAAACCAGTGCTCTAACCACTGAGCTATGAGGCCTTGCGTGCTAGCTGGCCGTTAGCATTTTTGTTAACGTGCTCCCAAAATCAGAGCCTCAAAATAGTCTGGTCTCAGCAGATTTTTCCACGAAAAGCCAAGTCCATTGCTTGATTTGCAGTCGAAAAATAAAGAGAAGTGACAATCCCCACATTCGAAGGATACTGACAAGTACACAGATGATAGGAACTTAGTTACATGCAATGAGGCCTCAGTGAGAATTGAACTCACGACCCCTGGTTTACGAGACCAGTGCTCTCACCACTGAGCTATGAGGCCTTGGATGCTAGCTGGCCGTTAGCATTTTTGTTAACGAGCTACCAAAATCAGAGCCTCAAAATAGTCGGGTCTCAGCAGACTTTTTCAGGAAAAGCCAAGTCCATTGCTTGACTTGTAGTTGAAAAATAAAGAGAAGTGATGTTCCCCACATTTGAAGGATACTGACAAGTACAGAGACGACAGGAACTCAGTTACATGCGATGAGGCCTCAGTGAGAATTGAACTCACGACCCCTGGTTTACTAAACCAGTGCTCTAACCACTGAGCTATGAGGCCTTGCATGCTAGCTGTCCGTTAGCATTTTGATAACGTGCAGCCAAAATCAAAGCCTCAGAAATTGTCGGGTCCTCAGCAGATTTGTCCGGGAAAAGCCAAGTCCATTCATTGCTTGACCTGCAGTCGAAAAGAAAGTGATGTTCTCCATATTTGAAGGATACTGACAAGTACACAGATGACAGGAACTCAGTTACATGCGATGAGGCCTCAGTGAGAATTGAACTCACAACCCCTGGTTTACTAAACCAGCTCTCTAACCACTGAGCTATGAGGCCTTGCATGCTAGCTGTCCGTTAGCATTTTGATAACGTGCAGCCAAAATCAAAGCCTCAGAAATTGTCGGGTCCTCAGCAGATTTGTCCGGGAAAAGCCAAGTCCATTCATTGCTTGACCTGCAGTCGAAAAGAAAGTGATATTCTCCATATTTGAAGGATACTGACGAGTACACAGATGACAGGAACTCAGTTACATGCGGTGAGGCCTCAGTTAGAATTGAACTCACGACCACTGGTTTACAAGACGAGTGCTCTAACCACTGAGTCACGAGGCCTTGGATGCTAGTTGGCCGTAAGCATTTTGTTAACGTGCTGCGAAAATCAGAGCCTCAAAAATAGTCGGGTCCTCAGCAGATTTGTCCAGGAAAAGCCAAGTCCGTTGCTTGACTTGCAGTAGAAAGCGATGTACACATTTGATAAATACTGAGAAGTACACAGATTTGCTTGACACAGACGACAGGAACTCAGTTACATGTGATCAGGCCTCAGTGACAATTGAAATCACGACCCCTGGTTTCCTAAACCAGTGCTCTAACCACTGAGCTATGAGGCCTTGCGTGCTAGCTGGCCGTTAGCATTTTTGTTAACGTGCTCCCAAAATCAGAGCCTCAAAATAGTCTGGTCTCATCAGACCTTTCCAGGAAAAGCCAAGTCCATAGCTTGATTTGCAGTCGAAATATAAAGAGAAGTGATGATCCCCACATTCGAAAGATACTGACGAGTACACAGATGATCGGAACTTAGTTACATGCAATGAGGTCTCAGTGAGAATTGAACTCACGACCGCTGGTTTACAAGACCAGTGCTCTAACCACTGAGATATAAGATAAGCTAAGATATGATAACATTTATTTGTCCGAAACTGGTGAAAATGGGGGAATATAAGGCCTTGCATGCTCGCTGGACATGAGCATTTTGTTAACGTGCCACCAAAATCAGAGCCTCAAAAACAGTCGGGTCCTCAGCAGATTTGTCCGGGAAAAGCCAAGTCCATGTTTTGTTAGCAAAAGCACAAGGTCTTCAGCAGACTTGTCCAGGAAAGCCAAGTCCGTTGCTTGACTTGCAGTCGAAAGTAATGTACATCTTTGAGGAATACTGACAAGGACACAGATTTGCTTGATACGGACGACAGGAACTCAGTTACATGTGATCAGGCCTCAGTGACAATTGAAATCACGACCCCTGGTTTACTAAACCAGTGCTCTAACCACTGAGCTATGAGGCCTTGCATCCTAGCTGTCCATTAGCATTTTGAAACGTGCAGCCAAAATCAAAGTCAAAAATAGTCGGGTCCTCAGCAGATTTGTCCAGGAAAAGCCAAGTCCGTTGCTTGACTTGCAGTAAAACGCTAAAGAGAAAGTGATATTCTCCATATTTGAAGGATACTGACGAGTACACAGATGACAGGAACTCAGTTACATGCGATGAGGCCTCAGTGAGAATTGAACTCACAACCCCTGGTTTACTAAACCAGCTCTCTAACCACTGAGCTATGAGGCCTTGCACGCTAGCTGTCCGTAAGCATTTTTTTAACGTGCTGCGAAAATCAGAGCCTCAAAAATAGTCGGGTCCTCAGCAGATTTGTCCAGGAAAAGCCAAGTCCGTTGCTTGACTTGCAGTAGAAAGTGATGTACACATTTGAGGAATACTGACAAGGACACAGATTTGCTTGATACGGACGACAGGAACTCAGTTACATGCGATGAGGCCTCAGTGACAATTGAACTCACGAACCCTGGTTTACTAAACCACTGCCATAAACCCCTGAGGTACAAGGCCTTGCATGCTAGCTGGCCGTTAGCATTTTTTTTAACGTGCTCCCAAATTCAGAGCCTCAAAATAGTCTGGTCTCAGCAGACTTTTCCACGAAAAGCCAAGTCCATTGCTTGATTTGCAGTCGAAAAATAAAGAGAAGTGACAATCCCCACATTCGAAGGATACTGACAAGTACACAGATGATAGGAACTTAGTTACATGCAATGAGGCCTCAGTGAGAATTGA